GTTGTGTTTTACTCCCTTCGTTTCGGGTTCATGTTCCTCCTCCCATCCACAAATTCCCCTTAAAACCCCCCAACGAACGGCCGTCCGGTCACACACGGTTCGCCACGGTGCACGGAGAGACGAAGACCAAGACACGGAGGGGAGGGGGGGGGGGGAGGAGCACGCTACGACTGCAGATCGTGAAGAAGGTGGGAGAGGAGGGGGGGGGGGGAACAAAAGGGACGGCACAAGAGGCACAATTTACGTATGTCGTTGCAAACGCAGGCGAAGGCTCAGAGGCTGCGTGACGCCCATTAAATCCCCGCCAAACGCCCGCCGTTTCCTCCTTCTCCCGCCCAGTTCCCTGCCACCACCGCCAGCGATGACGCTGATGATGATAATGGAAGTTTTATCCTTCCCTCTCCTATTCAATAACCCGCTCGCTCGGTTTCACTCTGTTTTCTACGTTTGTTTGCTTTTTTTTCCTTCGTTTTTTTTTTTTTTTTTTTTTTAGTTGTTTCACTTTGCGTGTGTGTTGCCCCTTGTGGTTCCCTCATTGGGGCTATGAAAGTGTCATCACATACACATTACCGAAACTGTCCCCGAAGACGACCTTCTCTTTGCTTCCAACCGCCAAACTGTACACGGGGGCCTTGCAAAACGTACTGTATTGATCACTACCATCGTCAATGTTGAGAATATACACAAAACGGTTTGTACAGGCCACCACAACGTACTGCGTGAAGGCCCCTGGAGCTGCGGACGAAAACGTCCACCCCAACCTTTCAGCACGGGGTCTGTCAAATGGCCTATTGGCGACTTTTGTAACGGCTAGACGGAGCTTGCACAACCCATCGACAGCTGACCAGACGCAAAGGTAAGTCTCATCGTTACTAATAATATGTTTTCCATCGGCAGTGTAACTACACGCCAAAATGATTCCTACGTGACCTCTTAGTGTTAGATGCGTCTTGGCGTTTGTCGTCGACCATACCCGTAGTGTTCTGTCGGCGGACGTGCTACACACATATGCACCATCTGGGCTGTATGCCACGCTGACTATGATTCCAGTATGATGTGTATACGATAGTCGTTCCCGCGCCGTCCGGGTGTCCCACAATCGGCAGATGCGGTCTTGACACCCCGAAACCATCGTCTTACTGTCTGGGCTAAAGCTGCAGCAAATCACCACCATTTCATGCTGCAATACATACAGTAGCTTGCCCATGCTTGCATCCCACACCACCATGGTGCGGTCTTTGCTGGTGGTGGCAAGGTATTTGCCGTCCGGGGAGATGGCAGTGGAGATAACATTGTCAGAGTGACCTGTAAAAATACCTTCACCCTCTCCATTTATAAGGCTGCGCAGCGTCACTGAGGCGTCTTCGCTCGAGCAGCTCACCAAACTACGCTCTGCTGGGGCCACAGAAAGGCACTTCACCCGCGATGAGTGCCCAATCAACGTCTCCACCTTGACGTCCAGCAGCGGACGACCAAATTTATTCGCTGCCTGTACCTCATTCCCGCGCAGCATCGCAGCCACCGTGTTGGGGACTGTGCTAAATGTTGTCATGACGGTGGCCCCTAACAGAACCGCCTGTTGAGCCTTCTGCCCAAATGCCAATTGCTGCATGGCAACGCTACCCATCGGATGTTCCGCCGTCAAATCCACCTCGTCGACACAAACGTTGAAGTCCGTGAAGTGGAACAATCTGTCCGACAGTGCGCCTTCGTTGGGTTTCCGCGAAGTCCGTCTGGAGGCCTGCGGCCTGCGTCCCTCAATGCGCCAGTGCTTCGTCTGGGCGTCATTCTTCGAGACGACAACGTCGTCGTAGATGAAGAGATCCTCCTCTATGGAGGGCGGTGGCTCGCGACGCTGCCGCTCCAAGTCATCCGCCTTGAAGGAAAGAGAGCTGCCCACTATGGCGCCCCTGTCGCTGCTTCGTGTGAAGGAGCTGTTGGTGATGTCGGAGAGCTCCTCCTCATCCGCCTCCGCCTCCGCTTCCGCTTCCGCTTCCGCTGCCACCGCCACCGCGTTACCGTCACCACGCAGCGATGCCCCCCGCCTCCCACTCCCAAATGGCCGCTGTATTGTGGACCTCCCACGACACGGCAAGGTCACCTTTGTCGCCTCGTAGACGTGTGAGGCATAGTTGACGCATCGGCCTCGCGTACTGCTAATACCAAAACCCATCAAACGTCCCGTCACCAAAATCGGATGTCAGTGCTTCTCCTCCTCCTTCCCTCCGCTCGACTACCGCTAGCGTTTCCGCCCTGGCAACGGCAGAATGCCGTCCTGTATAAAAAGATATATATATATATATATGAAGAGCCACCGCCGACAATGTCGAAGCGCAGAAGAACGCACGAGGAAGCAAGGGGGGAAGAAGGAAAACAAACACACCCACACGAAAAAAAAACAAAAAACGCCTTCCCCCCTCGCTCCTACGCAGACTCACGCCTCTTGCGAATGTGTATGTATGCAGTTCACTGGCGCCTGCCCCGCTGGAAGAACTGAATCACACGACCGCTCGTTCAACACGTCCCCCACGTTGCGCCCTCGTACACCCACAGTCGCTGTAGGGGTGTGAAGCAGCAGCGCCACCCACACGCACCAGGCAGAGGCATGCACCAAAAACAAAAAAAGAGAGAAAGAAAAGAAGAGCAGTTCACAGCAACGGCACGCAGAGGCAGACCCGCGGGCTCCGCCCCATCCGGGGTTACAAAACACCATCGGGAAAACAGGGAAACTCACTTTGCACGAGCAACGCCCAAAAGAAGCAAGCACAGCTACATGCACAGAGAGAGAGAGACACGCACATACACAAAGAAAAAAAAAAGCGTTAAAGCAAACAAATCACAAAAAGAGACGGGAAAACGACACAGGGAGAAAGAACCCCGCCCACCCCCACCCTCCTCCAGACACACACACACAACGAACTCCAAATACTCATATGGCTGTCGCTCTTCCCATCGGGACAGATGTGGTAGAAGCACGCCGCCTCCATCTAAAAACACGTCTTTGAGCCTTTCTTTCCACTGCTCCCACACTTCTTTTTTCTTTTCTTTTCTTTTCGTCCGTTCGTGTCTTTGGGCGCGCGACTGTCTGTGTGTCCTCCTTTTCCCTCCCTCTCTCTCCTTCTTCCTCCACTTTTTTCGTTCTACAGTGCTTCTTTTTTTCCGTTTGTGTGTGTGTGTTTTTTTTGTTTCCATCGTTTCATGCATGCCGCAGAAACACCAATGAAGGCACGCATGAAACGAAGGAGAGTGAGTGAGAGCAGCGGCAAAAGGGTCTGTGGCAATGGTGGTTGTGATTAGCAATCATCTTTTCTCCTCCCCTTCCCACGCGGACATGCGCGCTCTCTCCGTTGCTTCTATCTATTGTCTTTTTAATATATATATATATATATATTCTTCTACTTCGTGGTGAATTAAACTTCCATGGACCGCACCCCCCACCCCCCACGCACGCGCACGCGCACACGCAAAGGCACCCATGCATTTGAGGGGGGGGTAAAGGTACGGGAGTGCATCTACGCAGATTTAATGTGCATAAGGACACATGTGTATGTACATGCGTTGTGACGGTGGGAAAGGGCAGACACCATGCCAAGCAGGCAAGCAAACAGACAAAAAAGACACAATGAGGGGTAAGCCATAACTTCCACAGTGATATTCGCATACGGCCCCTCTTCAGTGGTGCATCTACAAAATACGCTACCTGACAAGGGCTGCGGTAGTGTAAGAAACCCACACACAAAGCCACGCACATGTGCGTGTGTGTGTGGCTATCTTCTGTGACGGTATTGTTCTTTTTGAATGGTATCACGTGTCTGTAGCAAAACGCCTCCGCTCTCTCGTTCTCACGTCCTCTGTGCATGTGTGTGGATGGGAGTTGCATGTATATTTGTAAGCTACATACCCCACTGCCTCTTTCCTTCTTCTTCTGGGAGTGCTGCTCTGGTTGCAGCTACAGTTCGCGGTTTTGAATGAGTTCGCAAAGAATTTCCTTGGTGTAACGCAGCCGCGCCGCAATTTCATTCGAGTGAGAGGCCGCTGACAAAAGCGGCACTGTGACGCGGTGGCCCAAGGCGTCAGTGTACGTCACAACCCGAGACTCCGAGCTGAGAATGACCTCCGCCTTGTCATGGAAGCAGACCTGAATCGTCTTGTTGGAGAAACGAAAGATCATTGCATGTGGTGTGAGCAGCCAGCGCTTGACATAAACAATGTTCTCAATCATGTTTGGCTCGCTAAGCAGCATGGGTTCCTGATCCACGTACGGCGAACAGCGCACCACCTCTACCCCTTCGCGCCCGCTGCGTCCGCGTGACAGATATGACTTGAAGTACTTGATCAGCGTTACCTTCTTGTTGAGGCTCTCAGGGAAGTTTTCCATGTGAAACGCCTGCCGTTGGTCGCGTGCGTGCACGACGGTGGTGTTGCTCCGCGTCACTACTTCCTTGATCCGCGCGTAATACTCCACACGGTCTGTGATGGCCTCCCACACCATTTTCGTAGAGTCGTTGTAATGGACCCCGGTGTGGCTTGTGTTTAGACGGTAGCAGAGCCCATACTTTGCAGAAAAATCGGCGTAGTCCGTCACCCACACAGATGGAAGTGGAAACGCATCCTGCATCCTCTCATCCTCCTCCGCTACCACTACGCCACCTCCACCTCTCGTCACTGCGGGGGTGGACTTCGGCACATTTGCGGGTGCAGCCTGCGGTGCGGGCATGTGCGGCTTCTCCTCACAGTGAACGTCGGCCGCCCCAAGAAGGGTCCTGTGGAGGTGGTCGTGCACAGCGGTGAGGTGATTCCGCTCCTCATCGTCCAGCACATAATGCGCCGTCCGGGGCACCGTCGCACGCCGCTCCCCCTTTGATACTCCTTGCGCCGCGGGACGCGCGGCATCAACGCAGGCCGTCTCGCCCGAGTCCAGCATCCTTTTTGGGTTGTAGGCGTTCACGGGTGCGGCACCGCAAAATTGGCCCTGTGGGACGGTCTCAGGCCGGACCGGCTGCCGTGCTGCAGCCAAAGTGTTCAAGCTGAGCGGCCGCAGCATCTCTCGCTCCGGTAGTGCTCCAGCAGCGGCGTCAGACCCCTTCTTCCGTGGCAGCTGCGGCTGCCCTTCTTCGGCCTCCGTGCGACGGCGTTGAGAGTGAAACAGCGAGAGTGGCGCGCTGGTGGGGGGAGTTGGGGAGCGGAAAAAGCTATGGTTGCGTATCTCCACAATCGTCGGGCGGTGATCAGGGCGGCTCTGCAAAATGCAATGGATAAGCTCCTTCCCGCTTTCTGGTATTTCGAGCCGAGGTGGGAACTCGTACCGGCACTGCTTGATGCGGCGATACGTCGCCTTCACGTCGGAGGTCTGAAAGGGCGGCTCCCCCACCAACAGAGTGTAAAGGATGACGCCCAAGGACCAGATGTCCACCTCGTAGCTGTGCCCTTCGTGCGCATTATCAATGATCTCAGGGGCAATGTAGTTGGGCGTGCCACAAATCGTCCGTTTCCGCTCCCCATCGTACTTGAGCTCTGCCGCGAGACCAAAGTCACCGATTTTCACGTTCATGTCGGCGTCCATCATCATATTCCCCAATTTGAGGTCGCGGTGGATGACGGCCTGATCATGCATGTAGTGAATTGCGGCAAGTGCCTGCAACATGATGTGCTGCGTCTCAGGTACAGTAAAGCGTGCCCGGTGCTTTGAGATCTCCATGAGTGTCTGGTTGCTGCACTTCTCCAACAAGATGTAGACATTCCAGTCGTCTTGAAAAGTGCGAATGAAGTTGACGATGTTCTTGTGTTTCATGCGGCGGTGGATCGAAATCTCCGAGTGCAGCTTCTGTAGCGTCTTGGTCTTCTGCAGGATGGCGCGGTCAATCACTTTAAGCGCGTACGACTGGCCATCCCGCTCCACCTCGTAGCACTTCGCAAACCCACCACGGCCAAGCATCCGGCCGCAGCGGAAGCGACCTACAACGCAGCCCTGTCTGTCAAACTCCTTCAGCACGGACCCCTCACGAAAGTCCGGCTTCTCTCCAGACGGCTGGTGCGCCGAGGAAAACCGCCGCGGCGGTATCACCGATGGCTGCGGACGCGGATGTAACTGATGCATGCCGTGCGTCCCAAACATTTCGCCCCCGCGCAGGAACACAAGTGAAATGGTGCCAAAAAAAAAAAGTCTAAAACTCAGAGAAGAATAAAATTTAAAGCAAAAATAAAAACGAAAATTGTTTTTTTTCTTTTTTCGTTGTTTTTTTTTTAGAGCCCAAAAAGCCGCGGAACTGACAGACGGAGTGAGTGCTTCTGTGTGAGTGTGAGTAGATATATCTCTATCTATCTATCTACCTCGCCCGCTCGCTGTAGGTGGGGCACGCAGGCAGAAACACGCCAATGGAACGCGGATGAACGCCGCTCCCTTGCCTTTAACGCCAACGTCCGTGCGGTGCTGTGGCGGAGAAAGACGCTTCTTCGGAATCTAACAGGCTCCCTCAGAGTGCAATCCGCAGGTGTAGGCCGTCGCGTGCTCCAAATGCAGGCTCGCCGCTCCTTCCTCCCTCCCTTACTTCCTTCTACCCCTATCGATATAACCTCCGAGTGTAGGAGTGTCCTTCTCTCTCTCTCTCTCCGCGCGCAGGCGAGAGGCTATAAGGCTGCGCCGCAGAAACCGGGAAGAGAGAGACACAAAAAAAAAAAAAAAGGTGGAAGAAAAAAGAGATCTTTTTTCCCCTTTTCTTTTTTTTCGAGGTGTACACCACGGCGTGATGCAGGCCCCTCAGGCGCCGACAGGGGGGCCCAGGCAGAAGTACGCAATGGAAGGCGGAGAGGGGTAAAAAAGACGCGAGTGCGTGGGTGGGTGGGTGGGTGGGTGGGTGGGGGAATACACACAGAACAGCCACAGCGAAAAACATCAGCCAACTCCCACCGCCGCAAACACTGCCACACACACACACACGCCACTCGCTGGCAACTCTCGCATACCACGTAAAACTGGAAGACACTACTTGTCGCTGGTCTAACCACGCTATCGCTGTACATAACCTCCAAGCATGCATACTTAAACCACCTCTTTTCTTCTCTCTCACCATATCCCCTCCCCCTCCCCCTCTACAGACACACAGACAGACAGACACCGACGAAGACATATATATAT